CAGGCGCCGCCAGGGGCAGCCCCGTCATCCATGTCTTCTCCCCAAGATGAGAGGGCTTTCAACTCTCCAGTCGCGCTGCGGGTGACGTCGCCAGAGGTGGGGCGTAGTGGAACATGCGCGTTTGGTCGCAGCGTTAGAGAACGAGTTGGCGGCAAGGCGGTGACGTCAGGGCCGCAGCGTCATCAACACCTTGCAGGATTGCTCTCTGCTCAGTTGTTTGTGCCTTAAGACAGGGTTCCTCAACCTCAGCAACTTTAAGATGGGTGGACTTCTGGGAATTCTGGGAGTTGAAGTCCACCCATCTTAAAGTTGCTGAGGTTGAGGAACCCTGCCTTAAAACGTTTATACGAAGCATTGGCTCAGTTCTAACTCTAAACTAATTGAAATTATTTTAAAAATGCATGTTTAATTGGGCAGCCCTTGTTCTTGCTGTATTTAACACACTGCCTACAGTTTCCCTCTTCTACTGTACACATTGTAAGAGGAGAGTCTGGTGGCCCCAAAGTGACTGTTTCAGAAAAACGGGACTTAAACAGCACCATCCAGTGAGAAATGGTTGAAGTCACATGCCTCAAAAGTTTTCTGGCAATTTCAAAAGGTGTCCACAAACACAATGGGTTTTTAACTCATTACAATTCTTAATTGATAACATGCTTGTACAGTAATTAATCTCACGTATAATGCTACCTATATTAGCTATTTATGTTCTCACCTCACCCTGATTTAAATCCTGCATCAGTCATTATGCCTTTTAATAAAAGTTACTGCCAGTTTCCTAGTCTCTTCTACTGTAGCAACTTTAAACATGTTTTCTCCCAATCTGTACTTTTTTGTATTTCACTTCTGACCTCAGTTTAAATCCCACCTCCCAACCATTTGCGCTTCAGCCTCTTCAGGATGAGGCTTCACACACATCTCGCTGTCCAGTGCTTCTACCAAAGCACATGGTAGAATTAAGGTATTAGCACTTAAGGTAACACAAGATCTAGTTTGAGTCACAAATGCCAACTTCATGCTTTATTTCTAGTTTGTACTGTTAACATGGCAAGAACAGTTTACAAAACTCTACTGGTCTAAACCACACCAGGAGGTGGCTAACCCAGATTATGCTTCCACAAACAAGTCCTACAGCCTTTTCTAGTCTTGCCCATTTCACTACTTCCACATCACTGGCCATTGGTTCTGTGACAAAAGGTATACCATGAGAAGCAGCAACATTGGATATCACAAAGATGTATGACTTCAGAGCTACTTTAAAGCTTGAACAAATAAAACTCTGGAACCAAGCCACTCGGACTTCATAGAAACCATTCCAACTAGCCTTGGAATCTGGACATGCACCAATCTCTTCTGAATTAGGGATCACTTATGTTAGTATTGAATGTAAGACATAAAGAAACCTACCCTCCTCATTTAGACAGATCTTTGAGGAATTGCAGTATAAATATTTAATTGCTTAACATCAAACAAGGGTTACAGGCCCCTGATTATTCTTTGCTTTGGCAGAGGACATCAGCCAGCTTCCTTCAATCTGGTTCCCTCCAGAGGCTGGCAGGTGTTGCCATTCTCTGGAGAACATTAATTTGATAAAGATTGCTACAGGAAAACTTCCCTCTTCAATGGACACTATTTCTTATTGCAAGCCAGAATCATCTGAATGCGGAAATCTCAAATTCAGCCATGTTTGGGTTGGTATCCTCTGGATTGCAGGTCTTTTCATTCCTGACAACTATCACCATTTTCCAGGTATCTCTTATGGCTGGATAGATATGCTTCTCAAAATGCACTGAAGTTTAGCAAAAGTTGCTTCAGTGCCAGCAGGAAAAAAAAATATTCCAGTTAATAAAGTGAAGATTCAATGCCCTGCATAGAGAATTATATGATTTAAAGTCATATTGATTTAATCTGCACAATTTATATGGGGGCATTCTTGTTTGCTATGCAACTTCAGAGTACATATAACTCTAACTCCTGTGAGCCACATTTCTTATCCAAACATACTGCAGTAACAAAAATGTGTACACACACACATACACACAGAGGCAGCCAAATTCAAGCATGCAGGAATATTTTTACAGACGGGTAGAATCACAGCCAGTGTTCAGGAACAAAATCACAACTTAGGAGAACTGACAGGAAAGGGAATCTGAACTGAAAGCAGAATCAGTTCTGAAATTCAAGGGGCAAGGGAGCAGGGAAGAACAACAAAGAGTGATGGGCCTGAAAACAAGCAAGACTTTTATACAAGCAACAGAAATTTAAGTTAGGGAGGCTATTGTTACACTTGACTCTAACGCTGTTTCTACCCATGCAAAGTTTTTTTTTATTGTTTCTTGTGTGCAAGTTATTTCACTATTAGTTGCTTTCGGTAGACATTTTGAAACATGCAACAGGACTTAAGTCCACCTCCCAACAACTGAGTAACAAAACATTAATATGCGAAACCTTCATGAAGGTCCTAGATTACATGATAAAGCTCTTTTTCTTAAAGCAAACACAAGAGAAATCCCAGAAGAAAAAAATACAGCAGCTTCATGACAATGTATACAGAACACTCGGCTGGAGAAATGCTCTCTTCAAACTAAGCCAGGAGGAGGACCATGCAAGACAAGATGATGGTTATCAAGACAGCCTGCACACAGAGCTTCTAGTTTTAAATAAGGGGGGGGGGTGTTGGCTACCTGCTGCATAGTTCAAGTTTGGTCTGCCTCTAGTCAGGCAGGAACAGGAGATTGAATATCACTCTGACCAGCCATGGATATACATTACAACTCCAGACTTCTGTGCCAATCTCTAAGAGAATGAGCTGGGCTGACACTTCCCATCATAAATTCAAGATAATTCAGGGTGCAGAAATAAACATGGAATGAAGCAGAATTATTTCATACAGCTCATTGGCAACAGGTAGAATTTGTGAGAGTTCTTGGGTTCCCACCATTATTTGAAACAAGGCAGGTGGGAGACATTTAGCAAGCGCAGCTCATTCTCTTAGAGATCAGTGCCATTCATGTTAATTTTAAAATATTATTTTAGAAGGAGAAGCATTGGCCAAAACTCAAACTACAATGCCTGCTGAAAAGGAGCTGGAACTGCCGCAGTCGGGGGGATGGAATGAGATGAAGCAACAAATACTAGCCATTCTTTCTATTGTAAAGAAGAAGCCATTTTCCAGATCAGTTTCAGTAAGATTTTTGGGAGAAAGAAAGGAAAATGGCACCATCAACAAACTGAACATACTAAAGATGCTTTAAATATTAAACAATCAATTAAGCCATCAGAAGGATGTAAATGCTGGCTCAGGAAGCGAGGCAAGGCAATCAACATGGAGAACTTCAAATCTCTCTGGAGCAGTCCACAGGTGACAGACACATCCCAGCCCTGTTTACTGCAGCACAAAGAGGTGTGATGAGAAAGGAAGCGAAAATGAAGAATTTGCCACTTGAGTCTCATTCCTTCGTGCCAAGACCCTCTCTTCCCCCAGAGCTGATCCATGCAGAGTTCTGCAAACACAGGACAGAGGACTGAGGGCAAGGGTTTCTTAACGCAGATCTTCCTCTTCCCCCTGTATGGTTTTCTTGATGCGCAAAAGCATGGTGGTCAGCCACTGGTCCAGGCGAGAGATTGAGTCGTATTCCTTCACCTGGTGGAGGGGAAAGAGAGAACTGTAACCAGGAATATTCCATAGCCAAATACAGCCCCAACAGGAATGTAAGTGGCAACGTTCTATTCCACCTTCCCCACTGTCTCCCTCCAGATGAGCTGGGACCGCAGCTTCCAGAACTCCAGGCAATCTACCTATAGAGCTTATGGTAGATCCACCTCCCTCCCAGCCTGATGTTCCCTAGATATGTTGATCATCCATGGTCACATAGTTGAAATCCCCTAGGTCCGGGAGGCCGCAGGCTGGAAAAAATTGCACTGGACAGTAATGGAAAAGAGGAGGATAACCAAGACTTACTGATTCAGTGTAACTGTCGATATTCTGTTCCTCATGAGCATCCAACAATTTCTAGGAAAGAGACAGGACAGGAGTAAGGCATTTCTGGATCAGTTTCCAAATAAAGCATCCCTGACAGATGGTGTCACTGTCACACTATAAAGTCAGTCGCTGACAAAAGGAATTTGGAAGGCTCGCTGGTTTGAGTGCAGAGGTTATACACTGGCTAAAGACCATGTCATTACATGGTCTTGGGTAGACCGAGCTTAATGTAAGCCATCAGTGGGGTAGAAAAACCATAACGTAAGTTTGACTAGCTAAACATCTCCAGACTTTTCTGGAAATCTAACCCCCAGTGCTTAGGAACAATGCCTTTATTGCATGGTGTAACTCCCAGCTCCTCCCTCTTTGCTGACCAATTACGCAACTCATTTCTAATTCTTGACTGTCGTCATCTTTGTATAATATCACTCCTCAAGTCTTGGTAGTGAAGCTGACATAATCTAATCCAAGGTTTCCTTCTTGGAGGAAAAATGGAGGCCTCCTGTCAGACAGATGCCTATCTTCAGTGAGAATGAGCTTAAGACTAAATAAGAACTACTCACTTTAACCAGTTTGCATTCTCTAGAATCCGAGAAAGCTGGGAACATTTCTTCATACTTCTGTACAGCCAACTGATTTAAATGAAGAAAGGAATGGAATCCCAGTTAGGGTTGGGTCAATCAAAAGGTTTAACAGTACAGGAACTCAGGTTTTAAAAAAAGTGAAACCGTAGACAAGCCCTCTAGACTGCAAAACCTCTTCCTGCATTTAAGTACTGCACATGTGATGATCCAATTATTTTTAACTACAAGGCCTCAAGCCTTGACTCAGAAATTAAACCCTCACTTCCCATATGCTTCTCTTCCCCCACCATCACTACAAACTACTGTTCTTGGGATTATTAGAGCAAAAAGCAAAAGCCTATTTGTCACGATGGTGTAAAGCCAGGCAGCTGCCTTTATCTCCCTCACGCACACAGACACAAACACACAATCCTTAAATCCCACGCGCATTCTGAAGAAATAGATTCCTTCACGCAGAGGATCCTTGGCCTAGAGCTTTTTCAATACAAGTTTTACATTTTTAGAAAGAAAATAACATTGTCCAAACCTTGGCATTGAACATGTCAATGCAGAAGTGGCAGAGGGCTGCCTTGAAGAAATATTCCTTTGCACTGTATTTCAGCAGGGGACTGTCCATGGCACTAGTACCAACCTGGAGATGCCAAGAAAAGGTGGGGAAAAGAAGAGAATCAGGAAGGATTTTGTTTTTTGTTTTTTGAAGGAAGCTTTTTTAAAAAATGGAAGAAAATTATATGGTATTCATATCCCCATATGCAGGATTCAGAACCTACCACATAACTTAGATCTGAAGACATCCAATTTTGTTTTTTTAAGACAAGTCAGCAGATCTTGTAAACACAGGAGTCCAAGCATAGCAAATGCCGGGCAGAGAAGTAGGGCAAGGAAAGAGATGTCATAACTGTATTAACCTGTGAGAATTACTGGTTTGCTGCTGATTAAACACTTTTCTTGCAAATGTTCTACCCCTGCGTAAACAAACCAATGACTGTGATAAACAGGTCATGATGCTCATCTGATCAGCAATACAACATGCTCCAAAATTGAGAGGTGAAAATGGGACAGAACTAGCAACCAAGTCCTTTGCGCAAAATACAGCATTTTAGAGTAGTGATTTTTTTTCCCCAGCTTGAAAAAAAAAAAGCACTTAGTCTTTGAATAATCTCCACTCCTCTACTCCAAAATGGAAGGGGAAGTGTCTGGAAAGGGAAAGCATTATTAGAATTGCTCTGCAGGGGCTCAATGCCACAAGATCCCAGGAACACCCCAGAAAATCATGCTGGACATATAAGATAGCTTCCTGTGAAACCTCGTGAACTTTTTACATAAAGAAAACAAGTTTCTAACTCTTGTGGCTGCGAAGTGGATGAAGATGTGAGGAGAAAAGAGGAGGCTGGTAAGAAAGGTCACAGAAAGTTCTCCCAACATTTTGAGGACTTAGCCATCCCTCACATAACTTCATGGCGTATCTAAGAGGCTGCCTCTTTCTCTCATCATCTCTGGCGCAAGATCCGACACAGCAGGTGTGCTTCATGTCCCACCTATTAAGCAATGTCCTCTGATGGGACTTAAAGCACACTTTTAGCATGTCCTCAGACGTTCAAACTGCTCCAATCTTGCAATCCTTTAACCAAACCTTCAAAATAGGTTTTCCCCCCAGCTCTGAGACAGGTTGAGGCGTGTCCATCTGGAGTCTATTGTCTGCTTGGGTTATGATGCATGCTTGTTCCCCTGTTATGCTTATTCTCTCGCGCTTGCTTCTATGTATTGTACGTGTCCCTTAATGTGTACATACTCCAGAGTCAGTGTTGAGCCGGGCAGCCTTATAAACAAACAAACTCATGAACCGCCTCAACATCAAATCGCCCTTTCATTAAAACTGTACACTCTGGCAAGTCTCAGCCCTGGTACACTTTTGTTTTCACACCATATTGTGGCCCAGTATATTAAAGATGTGCAGTTTTGTGAGAGTTCAAGGGAAGAAGGGAAAAAGAACAGAAATAACTAGACCTGCTCATAGATTTCAATAGCTTTCTGGTATTGCTCCAGTTGAGCTGCATAGGTAGCCACTTTCAGCAAACATTTGTTGGCAGAGCTGCAGGAAGAGAAAAAAGGATTGGAGGCAACTGGACACGGGAAGACCGGCAACTCCTCTTCCCCACCTGCCAACACAGCCTCTGTGCCCACCCGGGCAATGTCAGTGGATCCCGTGACACCCGAATCACTCTGAGAGTGGCCAAGGTCCAAATACAAAATGCTAATACAAGTTTAAAAAGTAGCTTCCATGGGGGACAGGTGGTGCCTGCATCTTCACCAGGGTTCTCTTGCTAATCGAAAGATACTAAGAGCAGAACTGTACATCCCAAGGCAAGTAGAACTGTCTGTAATGTGGGTTTGCCAGAAAGTGTTCCTGGCAGTCAGACTCTCTGCTCTGCCCAAGAGCCAGGATCTTTTCAAACTGAGTACTAGCCTGAGGGGGGTGGCTTAAGAGGCATTTCTGACTTCCTCCCTATGTCTTGAAGCTACCGTCTAAGCAATGATCCTTTCTCCATGTAACTGAGTTCAGAATATAATAATCCACTCAGACTAGGTATCACACAAGGAGCTGGGCCCTTACTTGTGAACAACTCTGAATTCCTAGTTAAGAACATTCTGTTCCTTGTTCTGGGCAGCATCCAACAGCCCAGAGACTGTAGTGCAACACAGCCATGCATCGCAGAGATGCAATACAAACTGGATTCATGAAGCGTTCAGTTGCCAAAAACTGCCATTGCAAAGGAAACCTGAAGGGAACAGTAACATGCTCTCCTGTAAGCCCTTTCAGAAGATGGCCCAAAGATGAACTGCATACAAGCCTTGGCCAGCAATAACAGCAGAATTACTGCCTGTTGTTCTCAGATCTGGAGTAATACACGAGATAGGAGTGGGAAGAATGGGAAAGCTCTACACCTGGCTGGGGAATTCTGGGAGTTGAAGCCCACCCATCTTAAACTTGCCACGGTTGAGAAACACTGCTCTACACAATGGATGAAACAATAATCTTCAGTTAGTGACTAAGATCCTGAGTACCAGGGATCTATTGTGGTCTATCTGGAACTTCAGGAATACAAACAGCAATTCCAATCCATTAATGCTCCAGAAGACCAACAGCCTTTAGCTGCCTAGAGCTGCAGTTGCAACTGAGGTATCCTATAAATTGATTGACTGATTAAATAAAGGCTGCTGCCAAGTACCACCGGAAGCCAGGGCCTCTTGCCTCCAGAGACAGCAGCAACGGCTTATCTATTTTTTTTCTTCACAATCCAATGAAAGTATGTTTAGAGATCAGAAAAGAAGGGAGGAGAATACCCAAGTTTGGGAACTTGAGTCACAAAAGCTCTGGGACGTCTATACAACAGAATACAACTGGAAGATCCCAGTCTCCCACAAAGGAGCTTTAGAAAGGGCAAGGGAGGGAACAAATGCTGTGGAGCACTGTCACTCGTTTTCTTCATCAGGAACCTCTCCATGCTGCACCAATGGAAAACCAGCCTCTGAAGGGGAGGGAAGCTTCTCCTACACTTGATGAACGAGGGAAGCCGATTCAAATTCAGCGAGAGATGAAAGCTCTGAGAACATTTCTTCTTGTTTACTATTGCTCTGACCAAAGGTAAAAACAGGATGGGCAAAGTTGCACTTTGCTTAATGCTCTGGGCACTTGGATGCTTGGAGCTGAAAAGGGAACGTTCAGTGGGTAGTGGGCAAACCGCTGGAAGAACTGGCAACTCCAATTCTTCTCTTTAAATGGACAGCAATGTTACTAGGTAACCCAGCAGATGTCAAGGGTAGAATGATAACAGAGGAACGAAGCTCCTGTGTTCTTGTCCTGTTCCTTGGAAATACTGTACATCCTTTCTAAAACAATCTTGCAGCCGCAGTATTTGCTTAATAGAACAGGGCTAAACAGACAGCAGGCAAAACAATTAGATTTTCCTAAAGTCCCACAAGGGGGAGCCTGGAGCTCAGTTGCTTGCCAAAGCAAATACAGTTGGCAAGGCAAGTTCATTCCCAAACGTATGATGGGAAACAGCTAAATGTTAAGCTGTCACTTTACTACAGTAAAGCTTCACAAGGTTCCAACAGTTATTTTCATTTTCTGTGTGTATTTGCTCCTAAACAAGCAGCCCAGAGTTTTGTAAAGGAAGGATGCGCTAAAAAGTCCCTAACCCACATCCATCCTGTCTCCTCACACTGGAGCAACAGAGGAGAAAAATGGGGCTTTCCCCCTCATATAGTCAATTGCTAATTATTAAAATAGCCCCCTGGCTCTTCCTCTTATTTCCTGAATGACTTCTGGGACTGATGAAGCTGCTCACTCTGGTCAAAGAGAGACTTTGTGCCTGGGGCATGGATCAAGCAGTGATACTTTGTCCAATTCACAGCTCCTCCAGGAAGACCTTTGACTCAGATTTGCTCATTTGGGGCAGATTTCAAATGATTGCTCCATAGTTCCAACACTGCCCCAAAGCAGACCAAGCAATTTTGGTCTAAGCCTATAGAGAACTGTATTTCAAACCTGTGGTAAGCAATTCATATGGAGTGAGCAAAAATGGTCTATAAGCAGCCAAAATAAGGCTGGATCAGGCCTGTAACCTTTACGTCAGAGAAGTACTTGTGAAAACGTGAAGTACCAGCCCAGAACCACATTCTCATTGCTTTCATATCCACCAAGGCATAGCTGTGTCGACCTGCTTCAACTTTGCTCCAAAGAACCGAATCACAAGATCAGTTCAAAATATTACTTTAGCTTGCCATCAGCAGAACACAAAAAATGACCCTCTGGTCATTTCCAAAATAGATAGGCTGTCCATCAAGCCTTCACTCCTTTTAAACCTGTCTGCTTTCTGAGGCCTTCCTGACAGGCAGGAATGCAACCATCATAAAGCAATAAGCCTAGAGCAGGAACGGGCCCAGGAATGCTTAAATTACCTGTTTGATTCTTCACCTTTATAGTAATCTGCAGCTTGTTCATAATGAGCTATTGCCTGAAAAGGAAGGAAAAAGGAAATGGCAAGAGACTGGATCATATATATGGCTTGGGTTGACACCAAAGGTACACACACATATACACACCTTCTCCCTCCAAGGCCTTAGCAGACTCTTCCCAGAGAGTTCACAAGTAGCAAAGAATGGCAATAACTTTAACTCAATTACAGGGAGGTTTATTGTCCTGCCATTCCCCCACATGGCAAAACAGGTATGAATTTTATTCTGAGCATCTAAGAAAGGTGAAAACGATTTCAGAGCTCACTGCAGCTGGTTCTATTTCCCTCCACAGGATCATCTTGGGGACACATTCAGGAAGGAGACAGGGAGGGATAATGACAACATCACCCCCTGCTCAATCTGGATTAAGCCTTGTTGGATTAATCACCAAGACCATCTACCACTAACTGCCATGAGTGAGTTCAATGATGTCATGCATTGATATTATTTATTGTAATTCTTAAGAAATGCATCTGGAATATTACTTGTAAGCCACTTTGAAAATATGTCTCCTGAAAGGAAGGGTATCATAGTACTGCCAACATTTACCAAAAGGTCTCACACTCCCAGCTAAAACTAGTACCCTTCCCACTGAGACCAGCAGGCCCCCATGTTCCTAGCCTTCCAGACAGTCTTGAAGAGCTGACTCTTCATAGAGTGAGGCTAGAGCCCAATAAAGTTGAATGGTGATATGAGGGGGAGTGTTGTTTCTGGGACGCCAGAGTTTTTGTTATAGTTTTTATGCTTTTCACTATTTTTATAGTTGTTGGTAAGCTGCCCAGGGCTGTGGTGCAAAATATAGGTGGCTATATGAAGTATGATAGATAGATAGATAGATAGATAGATAGATAGATAGATAGATAGATAGATAACCCTTAATAGGGAGAGGCAAGCATTCCTCACGCATTTAGAGACTTCAGCCTTTCTCCATTGTGGCAATTAACTGCCCTGTGTCATTTGTATTAGAAGATATTACCCTCTTGTCTTTCCAGTCCAAAGTTGTTCAAAACATCTGAATGCACTTTCAGACCAACTCTGACTATAGATTGGTTTAATAAAGCACTAAACCTAATTCCTGGAGCCCATCGATTTCCCCTTCTCTGCCCCTGCTCTCCCTGGTAACCAGTTCAGGGCCCTTTGAAACTTGGGTGTTAGCAACAGCAGAACTGAAAGTGAACTTTCCAAAAGTTATCACAATCCCAACAACTATCCTCTTCTGGGAATCCAGAATAAGGGTTCAGGGTCAAGCACACCATTGTAAGCGAGCTTGTTGAGACAGGGCCTACAAGACCTGTCCATGCACCGTACCTTTTCAATGTCCACCAGCTCAGTCTCATAGATCTCAGCTATGGTTATATGGTGCTTGGCTGCAATGGTGAAACGCCCCTAAAAAGAAAGCCAACAGAAGAGGAGTGAATCAGAAGCCAACTTTTGGGGACACCTGGATGTCTGTGTCCCACCCAAGAAAGCCCTAGTTCAGGCAATGGGTGATCCTCAACTTTGTTGAACTATCCTGAGCCTCCAAAGTCTATAACTATCTGAAAAAATATCAGGAACTATCCTGAACCTCCAAAGTCTATAAATACCTGGAAAAATCCACTGGTATCAGCCCAAATGACCTCTTTCCCTATATAGCATATACAAAACGCAATGCAGAAGCAGACAACTCAAAAGGACACCATTACTCCACAGGCATGAGAGACAACACATGCAAGCACATTCTCTAAAAATGGACATGTAGCAATTAAGTGGTCCAAGCTGAAGGTTATCCTGCCATCTATAATGCATTTTGTCAGAATAATCTGTTTTTATACACCAGGGAATTTGGAAGGTAGTAATCGCAGCACATCTGGAAAGGATCAGATTGGGAAAAGCTGCACTGGAATACTGTATCACTCAAAGTTCATTTGTTTCTCCAAAGGCTCTAGTTTACTGCAAACTCTGTGGCAATTAGCACAATCCAGCTGACCAGCCAGAGAAAGTGCCATCTATCCATGATCGAGATGTTTACTTGATCTAAGGGCAATTCTGATGCACAAAGCTTTTTCAGCATCATTACAGTGCGGCATAATTTGTGTGTCAGCCAGACAATCCCCCCCACACATTAGGTCTGTGGTTTCTTGCTTTGGAGCCATATCTAAAATACAAGTGACTTGAGAAAAGCCATCCTTTATGGGGTTTGCCAAGTAAGTGCTTTTTTAAAGCACAAAATTGTCCATTTTTTAAATTAAAAAAGGACTTCTGAATTATATAAGAAGCTTACCATGTCTGTGTAGATCTCAATAGCTCTGAGGAGACAATTAATGGCCTCTATTTAAAAAATAAACAAAGTTAGCCATTTTAAATACAGTAACATGAAAAAACAAAGCCATTTGTCAATGCAGCTCCTCTAACCTCCCTGAAAGGAACAGAGGGCAGGAATATTTATAGTATATTTCCTTTCTTGGACGAGATCAATAAGTACTTAAGGAAAAACTGCTGAGTTCGTCTTGTAACCAGGACAGAGTATCTTGAGAACGGATGGGACTTTTCTACGTGGCTTGGCATTCTTCCTCAGGTGAGAACCAGAGGCAAACAGCTGGGCATCTCATCCCCATTTCTTGAGGGGCCCATTCAATACACAGCCAAGGTCAGGCAACCACAGGAAGGTTTCCAATGCTGCCACTAGGTGGCTGCCTGAAGAACTGCAACACCTAACTTACAAAAATACCTGTTCTGATTGCAGAGGATTGGACAACCTAAGCTCCAGTTTTTAAAAATAACCCATTCCCAGCCCTTTTGTTTTGAAGGGAATGCTTGCTCCAGACAGAAGATAAATATCTTTGCGTAACTCAGGCTTATCGCTATTTATTTTCAGGGTTAGCAGAATAGCTGGGAGTCAGGCAGCATATAATAGATATACACATTTCATCATAGTGGAGCACCTTATAACTGGGAGAGGAAAAAGGGCCTGGGAAAATAAAGAGCTGTGCCTAGTGCCAAAATATCAAAGCAAGCAGCCCTGCAGAAAAAATACTTCTTCTCGTAGACACGCACTGCACCTCAGGAGTGCCTGAGAAGACCACTCTAACTTCCTGTTCCATAGACTGACTGGCAATCTTTCAAGGGCTTTCTATCAAGCTATAAAAAAGCAGAACAGAAGAGAGTTTCCTTGTCCCACCATTTTCTTTCCAACAGAGGGAAATTCTTCATGCGGGGGGGGGGAGTGCTTTGCTCCAAGGGAGCCCCCACCCAGCCAGGTCTGCCCCCAAGTCACTGTTCTAACATGAGAAATAACCAACTGGCAAAGGCTTTCAGTTACCAGATTTCCCCCTTCAAGATCAGAGCTCTGTCTCCAAGACCATCTCTTATGAGATGAGACAACTGCAGTCTAATTTGGTTGGGTTGGTTGTTTTTTTTTGAACGTATGCCATGGGGTGGACAAGGGCCCCTCAAGATGTACAGATCTCTAACTTACACTGTTTGGCCCCAAAGTTCTATCAAGAGCAGCACAATTGTTTCCTTTTCCAGACTTCAATCCCAGAAAAAGCTTTGCTTACTAAAAGAAGACAATCCAAAGGCGTCAAAAGGGCTCCTATTAGCATCGCATTAAAATCCTTGGGGAATTGGTGCACAGCTTGGATTGCCCCTTATTCCACCTCCCTCTCATGGCAGATAATCAGCATCCAAGTCTCCAAAAGATTAAACAAATCCCTGACGAGGATTAAATGTGTTTTCTCCTCAGGTAACATGTCATCTTTCCTCTGAAACCATTCCTGGCACCTACAGAAGACAGCTCTCTTTAATCAACTGCCCATCAGTTTCTGATTAACAAGTACTAGCAACAAGGTACAAAAAGGATTCCACTTCCCAGAAATAAAGGCTCAGGAGCAAGCAGCCCTGCCTAGACAAATTGCTGTCTAGGGAAGGGTTCAGTAAATCTTGCCAGGCATTGCATTCAAGAGAGATGAAAAAGGTAAAAATTCTTTGAAATCTTTTCCTAATCACAGAGTCCCTGGGGAGAAGGAGCAGATTCATAATGCAAAGCTCAAATTTACTCTAAGTTACACAAAAGCTTGGCTTTTGGGTAACACAAGATTACACAAGACTTCCTAAACTTAAACAGTAAGACATTCAAAAGAAGTGTGCACTCGTGGACTAGGATTATGCATTTTGCACAAGAGGAGAGTTATTAAACTGCAACTTGGCCCCTGAAATAGTGGCTCAGTACAGTTCTTGTCTCCCCCTCCTAGCCATGCTCAAAATGACCAACAGGGGAATAACTATCAGTACAGCCAGGTTGACCTACATTTCTTTGGAAAGGAAATATATACTTGATGAAGCCTAAGGCACTGTTGGTTACACTGCATGATGGAAACCCACATTCTGTAGATTCAACATGTTTGTATATGTTCAGTGGAAATGTTGGGAGATATGAATGGACCATCCCTATGTCCTGAGAGGTAATCCTATCTAATTCCGCTAAGGCTGCACGAGTACCTGACTTGCTTTTTCTTACCTTGAGGATCAGCCTTTTTGAAGGCATTACCAGCATCCACAAAGCTCATGGCTGCATCATGCTTGTTCTGAAGCTGGAGATGGAGCTGAGCAGCCTGACAGAATGCATTCCCAGCAGCTATAAGAAAAAGAAAGAGGTACCGGGGAATGAAAGGCTTGGAACTTTTGAGTATGTAACTTAAAGTTCAAAACCAGGGATTGCAAAGACCCCAACAGTTTATCCTCCTTTTCTGGAAACAAAGGGGTGACAGAAGAAAAGTGCTTGGGGCCTACATTCTTAGCACCCGTGTTACCACTGCTCCCAAACCATGGGGTTCACCACCTGATTGTAGAGCTCTTATCTTAAAACTGCAGCACTTCCTTCACTGCAGCTTTGGGCAGTGGCAGTTCCATAGCCAGTGAGGTTAATCTGGGGTGTGATTATTAGTAATTGTTCCATGAAACTAGCCAGAGCAGCACTTGCCCAGCCCTTCCTGGTTCCATGAGGATGTTCAGGTATTTCCAGCTTCTCAGGCTGCGGAATATGTCTCTTTATTGTGATGTATGTATTCTACCAGCAGACAAAGTGATGTGTGCCTTAGCAAGCCAGATATGCCGTTGTGTGGGATATAGTCTAATTCCAGCCAAAGGATCAGATAAGCTACATACCACTCCAGTTCTTGGCCATTTTGAACATATTAGCTGCTCTGGCATAGATATCACATGCTTCTTCAGTCCTGGAGGAGCCACCTCTAGGGAGGAAAAGAACACAATGCATCAGCTGAGAGCAGGCAGAATCCTCTAGTTGCAAAAGAAGTCTCTTTCTTTTTCCATACTGAATGTCAAACAGTTTTAGCTTGGGTTGGCACACAAAAGAAAGAATATACGCAGGCGTGTGTATTAACATCTCAATGTTTACACTTTTTCAAGAAAGAAGCTACTATTAGGCACATCATTCAAACAAAAACTCTGCATGCAAGGAAATAATGGCATGGCCGTAAAGGCCCCAAATACAGGTTGTGTATTTCATGACAGAGAACATGAATCTAAGGAAAGGCAACTGCACTTATGGAGCAAATTCAGTTCTACAATTTGCAGTGTAGCTTTATTTCAATCCAGATATTAATAAAATGTATGAACAAAAAAATAAGATTGTTAACTAAAGTATATGCTTTCATAAGACATTAAACTGATCAATTCAGATTTGCATTTCACTTTCAGTTAGTAATTTCTATATATCTAATGCACAGGCCTTTGGAAACATCCAGTCTTACTTTTTTTCCCTCTTAAAAATTAACAGTGAGAGAACCGTGTGCTATTGAACTGTCAGTATTAAACAGATTCCAGCAAAAAAATATACCAAAACAGAGCTTTAGATTTTTAGCACCATCAAGTCACATAAAACATGTACTTTATTGGATTTTACATCCCTTAGTGTTTCACTTCAAATGCAATCAGCTACGGAGACTTTTAAAGCAGATACAGAAACACATCTTAAAAGGGCTAATACTTTAGCTTTGCCCACTACGGTTAAACACATTAAACCAGTTCTCAGTCTAGAGCTCAGGAAAAATAATTGACTCAAGTTTTCCAGAAACCACACATCATATCTACCGCAAAATGTTGCACCTGGCTATGCCAGCTCTGTTCTAATACCACCAGTTTGTAAAAAGCTTAATTTCTTCCTACCATTCCAACATATTCCCCTCCAGAAAGCAGTTTCCCTGCTTCATCACTGGAAACCTATAATTCATTTTCTTTGAGAATCACTTACAGATGGCAGTCAGACCTTGCCAAATGCCTTAGTTTCAACAAAATAAAACCCAGGATATGAAAAGCAAGTATTTTTAGTGAATGTTCTCTTGAAACATGAGAACAGAGGGGGCCAAACTAAACGGCCAGGGAACACAGAAATGATATCCCAATGCATGTATTTTGAGATGTTTTAAATACACATGTAAGAGTTAAATTTCTTCAGTCAGTTCTGAAAAATGTACAGAATCCAGTTTGGGAGATTTCCAAGCTATAGTGGCTGGAAAGCTTGCAGCCTCTAAGGAAAGCTGAGATGTCAGTCATGGCTTAGCTCAGAGAAATGAGCAATAAATTCCTGGACCAGAAAACATTTAGCTGTTGCACAAGATACACTGGAGTATGTAGGCCTGGGAACAAGTCACAGATCTGGATGCAAAGAGGCATTTCAAATACAGAATTCTCAGAAAATCTTGGACAATTAAATAGGGCTAAAAAAAGGCAGGTAGTTGCATACCCAAAATATAAGCTAAATACTAGGAAGCCAAGATGTTTCCTCAGCCTAATTCTGTACAGTATCTTATCTTTGTAGCTAAGGATAATTTCTTAAAGAAGCATTACAAAATGCTGGCTGCCAAATAGTTAAGACGGCCTTTTCTTAACAAAAGGGAAAACATGCCATTTTCCTATCTTTTCCAAAGCCAAATACATGTTTAACATGGAAGGGATTTGTGCACTGCCTTACTACTGGCCAGTTAGTAGCATGTAAACAAGATAAATGAACGTAACAGACAAATATTTTAATCCACGCAGTGCATCAGCTGCCCCCCAGCTCAAAAGCGTTTAATCAGGCTTGTATTTTTAAGTTCTTTAAAATCAACACATTCCAATTTACATACTTGACATCCGCTAAAAATCAACTTCATACATACTGTGGAGTGATCTCTTAGGAACTTGTTATTTTTGAAACAGACAGAAGGAATCTAAAGCAAGTTTGACTGGACCACAAACCTCAACCAATTTAGCAATCACAGTTCTTATCCTGGGAACTGCATTTTGCTACCATGCAGATAACTTCAATAGCCTCCTTTACAGGACTTCCACCAGTTTTTCAGATCACCTGAGAGGTAGAGATTCGTGAATCACAAATTTAAGTACAAATCCCAACCAGTTACTACCTGTATGTGACCCCCAATCTGCCTAAGAATCTAACAGATATGCGATGCTCCCCCTCCCTTGACACAGAAAATTATTTCCAGCAAACCTACAACAAAAACAGCTGGGCTGGAAGAATCCTGGAAAGCAAACATCTTCAAAATCTATCACAATTTCTCTACCTTCTTCCATCTAACACACACCATCAAAGCTGGCAGTGGTGACTCTCAATAGAGTAGAAACTAATCAACAGCTATTGACATCAGGCTTTTATTCACAGCCTGTGGAAAAATATACTTCAATGCCTTGCTGCAGAAGTGTGCAAGTCCCAGACTTGCATTATATATGATACAAGGAATCAGCCTTGAGTCCCCAGCTTTGTCATATGCCCTCCATCCTCTTTGCCCATCTCTCACTTGGCAACAGATGGTGCCACTACCTGTGGGAGGAAAGAGATATACAGCCAAAACCAAAAACAAAACAAAACCATTGCAAGAGCAAACTAATGCTCTTCCACTCACTTATGTCATGCTTTCAAGGAAAAAAAAAATCATGTAAGTTCTCCTGAATTAGAAACATTACTCAGGTGCATGAAGAAATAACCCTTACTTACATTTTTAGTAGATAAATATTTTGCCCCACTTAACTGATCTACTTTTGGCAGAGGGCAACTATTAACCTCAGTTACTTGGTTAAGACATCTAACATCTATTCAAAATTTGACTTCTCCATTAGATCACTCATTGTACGAAGGCTCAATAATACCTCATTGTAGCATGCGTTCATTTCATTCTTCGGCTCTTTCTGGAATGCAGTTAGGCTTCTGCTTTATCAGTTTTGTATCTTGGGTGCTAATTTTCTGTTCTGCTAACCTAACAGTACCTCACTTGCTTGTAAACAATTCTTTAGATACTTTGAAGAATGTTCTTCTGTGAAGATAAGCTGGATCTATGCATATCTTGTTACGTGTGTCCAACTTGTTCTGTTTAATCTTCTGACCTGCAAGCTCCTAACATTGCAGGTAGTCCTCAAATTACAAACACTCATTCAGTGACTTTTCAAAGTTACAACAGCGCTGAATGAATGGTACTTATGACCGGTCCTCAAAGTTTTGACCACTGCAGCACCCCAGTCACGTGATTGCGATTTGGACACTTGGCAGCTGGCTCACACCTGTTACGGTTGCAGCGTCCTGCAGTCATGTGATCACCATTTGACATCTTCCCGGCCAGCTCCCCACAAGCAAAGTCAATGGGAAAGCCAGTAGGGAAGATCACAAGTTGCTCCCACCACTTTTTCTTTCGAGAAGCCCCACTATGGAGTACCCCCTGCCCACACTCTGCAGCACACGTCCACCTGCAACACCCCTGGCCTGTCCACAGCCCTCACCAACCCATCTGTGCTCCCTAGCACCCACCTGTGGCCCTTGCCAGCCCACCTGCACTCTCTAGCCCATGCCCACAGCCCTTGCCAGCCCCATGCTCCCTACTGCCTGCGGCACCCCCCCACGCTCCTTGCCTGGGGCTCCTGCCTCTTCCCCCTGAATGACCCATGCAATCCCGGAATTACGACAGTAACTGGGACTGCCGTCACTAAGTGATGTGGTCATGTGACATTGTGCTTTACGACCGCATCACTCAGTGACAAAAGTTCCTGTCCCAATTGCTGTTGTAACCCGAGGACTACCTGTAGAGCTCAGCAGAATTTTAATTTTAGGCAATGAATATTTATCAAGGCAGGACAGTGTATGACACGCTAGACTGTTGTCCTCTTATTTCATCATTCATACCTTTGTCTTTCCTTAAGATTCATTTAACACTGGAAACCTAATCCTTCTTATGATATCTTTCAATCCCATTTTACCAATCACTCAAGTCTGCCCATTTTCTTACACTAGGCTTCAAGCAAAGCATAGCACATTAAATCAGAATAGATTAGCTGTTCTACAGTACTTAGCCCTGCTGCCTGCTTGGATTCTTCTACAATTATATTTCTAGTATCTTGGTAGTAGGAAATCTACTGCCATCACACTACAGTACTAAGACCCATGGTTTACAACTTCTTTTAGTTCATGGCAGGCTTGCCCACACATTTTCAGACAGTTGTTGATTGGGCACTTTATCATCCTTCAGCATCTTTTCTAGGTCAGTACGAGACCCAAATGTGGACAACTATGTCTTTCTTGGAACATTTATATTTCACTTCTCAATGTTCTGGAAGAAAGCCCGGAAGACCCACACCAGCCATCTTCTGGAAGAAACTTTCTTAGGCACAGGTTGACAAGCACAAGCTTATGATTTTAGCTACTTAGTGGTACTAATATGTGTTTAACAAGAGACAGGTCAGGTCAATGATTCTCAGAGAAACTGGCATTCTTTTCAAGGACAACAAAAACTCTCTTTAGTGAAGCAGAAAACAACTAACAAGTTTGGCCTAACAAAAATGCCTTCTATGCTTTGCCTGATGCTTGAGAATAAAATACGAATAGCTTCCTAAGAGGCAGAAACTGCAAATTCAGGGCCTATGTACCGGAGAAGACGAAGCTGACCCCTTGTAGGCCCCTGGCTTGCTGGCTAAATGAAAGGTAAAATGCTAGTTTGCTACAGATATGGATTTAGGTGGGCTATGTCACTTATGCGTAATACTGTCCTTTTTCCTCCAACCAAGTCCATCATATAAGCTTTGTCTCGCCCCTTGCCAGAACCTTGTATTTTGTCTCCTGCGCAGATCAATAAACTTGGCTCAAGCAGATCGTGTAGCACCATCAACTGGGTCGTAAGAGTTTTTCCCCTTCACTAGCTTGCCAGTCACCATTAACAATCCCACCTCTTAATCCCTGCACTAGATAGGATTTTGATACAAAACCCTGCCTAAGTATTAGGTTGCTCACAGCCTTCTGGGAAATATACTGGGGACTTAACTATTCCTCTCCACCTCACAGCTAACAGTAACTGAAGCTATGCCAAATCGCAGGAGCATCAATGTCTTCCACAATCTCCTGCAGAGGGAGCAGCTCCCAACATTGAGGTACAGTATTTTCACTTCAGTTGCCTCACCAGGGTATAGCATGGAGAAACGGGGGAGAAATATATTATTAGTATTCCATGGTCATCTTCTCAGGGAAGGGGAGGGGAGATTAAAAAAAGGAAGACATTTTACTGCGCACAAACATCAGGGCTACAGTGCACAACCCATCTAGTTCAGTGGTTCTTCAACTGGGGGATATCCTGGGGCAATGGAGAATTTGTAATATTATAGCTTGTTTGTGAGTCGAGGACCCAGCTTGGGATAGCCCCTGCCGAGATACTTGGGTAAAACAAGTCTGGGTTTTTTTGGGTGTGTGGGTGGAATGACCTTATTTGAGACCAGGAAAAGGGGCAATTGGGTCAAACGGTTTAAGAACTAGATCGAGCAGTTTCCTGGAGGTTTCTCTTTACAGCAGGGGCCCCCCAAGGGTCGACAGGACTACCATTATCGCTGTTGTTAAAACAGCATTTATTAAATTATTTTCATATAACTCATGTCTGGGGGTCGATGAACAATCTGAAACTTGATGAAGGGGTCGACGAGCCGAAGAGCTTGGGACCTCTGCCGCAGCAGGCATAAAACTGTCTCCTGCCGTCAGCTCGGCCTTAAAAACCCCGCCACGAACTGCCGCCGCAAACGAAAGAAGCGCCCGGCTTGCCCCCTGCCCCGAAAAGCAGCCAGGCCCACCTCGAGCGACGGGGCTCGCGTGACGGATCGGCCGGACAGGCGAACGCCGCCGGGCACCCACGGCGCGGGAGGGCGGCCCGCTCCATCGTCGCTGCCGCCCCG